GTTCCGTCACAGTCGGCCATATCAGTGGGTCGGCCACTTTTACCTCGATTTATTACTTCAAAGCTATATTATTCAAGAACAATTTAATGAATCGATTAAAACTGTTAAGAATCTAATAAACTAGGATCTATTACATCATTCTGACAAGTTCTTGAATTATAACCGGTCTTTCTATACTTGCTATAATATCGACTAATAGAAGATTCCTTATTAGAATTTCTCTCATTTTGATGCTCATTATATCGAATCTGAACCTCTACCTTTTGTTATAATAATATATCCTCAGCTTCCTGTCTAGTAAGTACTTTTCTATTCTATAATTGAACTTTTTTAGTGTATCAATATTTGCTTAATACCTTATTTGTCTTTCGAAATATACAATTCTCTATATTTAAAAGTGTAACTTCATAAACTAGTTGTTCTGTACCCTTAGTCAAAGCTGCTATAATCTCGAATATAGGTATAGAAGAGTTTGATTGATATTGAGTAATTCGAGATCTTATTAAAGTCAATTGTGAAAGAGCTTCAATTGGATTATAAGGTGTTTGAGAGACCCAAGAATCGGCAGATTCCAAGGGAATAGGTAAAGGGGTAGGTGTACAAATTCGAATATCCAATTTCGAGAGTATAGCTTAAGGATCGAATAGTATTAGTCCTGTTTCTTGAAAGCCAGCTTTCATATTCTGAACTGTAATCGATTATTGATATACAGCTTTGAAAACTATAAAGAATTCAATTTTAGAGATATGATTGATATAAGCCTTGATAAATCCTTCAATTTGTGAACCATATATTTGTTTTAATATACTAAAACATCCAATATCAAGTGATTAGATTAGATGACTTGAATGTAGTAGTAACTTTATGTATATAATATCATTTGATTTGCAATATAACTGAAAAGGTATTGATTCATGACTTTCATGCCTATCCAATATTAGTATTTGATATTTGCCCTTCCTTCGATGAATAGTATACTTGTTGAAATGCTTTATTCAATCTAAATCTGTCTCATTATTTGTTCATCTATTAGAAGTAGATTTAATAACCCAATCTGCAGGAAAATCGTTTTCTGTATATCAATTAAAAAGATGATATTGTTTTTGCATTACTAAAAATGGTAGTATAGTTTAATTCTCTTTATTACTATATATAATCGCTATAGTTCATTCTCGATTACCTAATTGTATTGCTTTGTTTCTGCTATATCGTTCAGTACTAGTTACAACTATTCCGGAGTATATTATATTCATTATAAAACCGGTTTCGTTAAAGTTATAGAAGTCGCAGTTTTGAATACTATATTTTGTCTGTATATTCGATACCAATCAGAACTATCCTTCAATAAGCTTTGGATCTTCACAGAAAGCTCTTTGAAAGTTATAAACGCAATTAAAACGTATTTTTAGTTCTGAATATCGTTTTATAAAGCGATAAGCCCAGAGCTTTCCAATCTTCTTCGCATCCCGCGATTCTAATATATAATTCGCTATATCTTCCATATCACTTAATTTAGGTGCAAATCCTTTCTCATCCAGATCGAGTATATATTGAATAAGAATCTCCTTTTCCAATTCAATCAAATTATAGCTTTTTGGTCAACTTTCAGCCATATTAGGTTTACCTCGAATTCTATCACCCAATGTAGATCGAGGCATACTATAGAGCTGAGCTGTCTTTCGAATTGTTAATTTTGGATTTGATTCAATAGCCTTAATAGCTAAGATTATTCGTGCTTCTTTAGAATGAATTTCTATAATTAATTATTAAGAAAACGTGTATTAAGTGTAGAATAATAAATCGAGGTAAAAGTGGCCGACCCACTGATATGGCCGACCCACTGATAAACCACGTTATTCCATCAGTATTATAACTAATTTGAATACCAAGACACCCATTGCAATCGCAAATACATCATAAATATACTTCCCAATCCTTTAGATAAAATATCCCACACTAATCCTAACAAAATTCTCAGTACTCAGACTAGAAGTTATATTGATATAGATTATATACAATAATAACAGCTAAGGTTGTAGCTCATATTTCCTGATAACTATCAATCTGCTAACAGTTTACTCTTTCAACTTAATCCTCACGGTAATGATGGTTGAGTCAGATGCATAGTCCATCTTTTCAAACCAGTAACTTCTTCAGCTGATATTATTCAATATATAATAAGGTTTTAGTTTTGGGATTGTATTCAAAATCTATTCAATATTGTGAGGAACATATTTGGTAAGGAAAATCAGATGTTTAGATACCGTTTGTCTTACAATAAACATTTTATGCGAGGGCTGGAGAGTGGTTGAGGAGGGAGGTTTGGGGTGGTGGGAAGGAGGAGGAAGAGGATTATTGATTGTTTTTGGTGAAGTAAAGGAGAGAAGATGGCGTATTTTAGTGTTTGGACAATCGTTTTCTAGTACCGGTACTAATACGATACCTGAGTACTCAAACATTTTATAAGGTGAATACAGCTTAAACATTGAAAACATCTCGCTTGATATTAGTATCAAATTTACCTAATACGACTTTATTGAAGGCTTTGGTTTAATTCCAATATTGAATACGACTGCTTCAACTGCTTCGTAATAGCATTTTTCTGAACCGGCATTGCGAAGCAGTGAGGAGGACTCAAAGGGCACTTTTTGAACAGACGTTATTGGGTCGGGTGTATCACGTGAGCTACATAGTGGGAGGGCACGGACACGACTTTTTAACCACTTCGAGACTTCTGGTGTTAAAAATCGACTACATTACATGACGAAAGCTCTTTCTTCGAAAGAAGTACGAGTTAATGGAATCGATACATCATGCTTCGAACATTGTTTCTAAATCGGTGAGTCCATCTTGGAAAGACGATTCAAAGGGAAATTTTTTTGGTTGGCACACCCACCAGAAAGACGTATGATGGAGAGTGGTACAGGATCACCAGAACAATCGGTATTGAGCCTTGTAATGCATCAGCGGCTTCGATCCAAAACATGCTTGGGGGTTTATTATTGGATTATTCCTTGATCTCGCACTCTGAAGTCGGTGAGTTGAATAGGTAATTGCGCATCTCAGCTCTTATATTTTTTTGAAGCCTTAATGGCTTGGCTTCATTTGGATTGATACGAAGGATGTCAGGCTGGTTCGTCCTTCTATCTATTCGTATTAGATGCACGAAGGGATTGGGGTATGGACTGAGGTCTAGACCGCTTCATGTGTAGGTTCGCGTCACTCCTACCCCTCCTTCGTTCCAATTTACAGAAATTAAAAGAGATTGACACCAATTTGAAAATCTATATGATGGCTCAAGAATAGTTATCAAGTCCTAAAAGAAATCCAGTGAAAGATGGACGGGCTTTCTATTTCACCAACAATACTTTGTGTACAATTTCGCACATCAATAGTCGACCTTCTTCAACGAGATCTCACGAAAGCCTGAGGAGCGGCCAATCAGCAAAACTGATGCACATATGCTTCTTCTTATGTACCATCAGGCTGGATCTTCAAAAGATTTGGACCCATAGGATGCAGCCAGCCGTCTGGACTTGAATCTCACATGCACCCTCCCGCAAGCTCAGCCTGTTCGTTGAAACTTCCGAGTCTTGGTAATGGCAGCTTTGGTTCCATCCTCTTTGGTTCCACTTTTGCTCTCCACCTCATTTACAATCTGTCACAACAACGTTCGTGGGATTACAATGGTTGGGTCAAAGCATAAGTCACTCGATGTTCCAGGTAACTTAACCTTTCACGCCTTATCTTGGGAAAACATATTAACGAGAAACCTCAAGTTGAAGGAAGAAGCGCAAGAGAAAAATTCGAGCCAGCGCCGTTGTCCACAAATTCCGTTGACCTCCTTGATGAAATATCCAAAGTTCTGACAAACAACACTATTGGAATAGATATAGAAGTTGAATATTTTCCAGACGATGAATATGACAGGCTATTCAAGGAAGATACGATACGATCTGCGCTCGGTGGCGGCCACGACGCTTCTCTACTAGTCGAATATGTTCTTAGCCATGCGAAGAAGACATTTGCAACATTGCTAATAGTCTTCTCTGACCCTAATGACCGTCGGGAAGTCATGGACGCTCTAATGGCAAGTCAGTTCAATGATAAGCTGTTAGAATGCGATGAATTTGATGAATCCTGTTTTGATCACAAACTTTGGAAGAAGGGAATGAATCTTAAATTTTTTAAAACAAATCGGTTACATTTTACTGTTCCTACGTTTGAAATCGAGATCTTTAAGTATGACTTCGATATGGCACGGTACCTTCCGTTTAAAAAAACGAACACTCCAGCAAGTAGCGGCCATTTTAGCGAAGTGACATGTGTGGAGATGTTGACCAGCAAGCAGAATAAGGTTAACGTACCAGACAAGATGTTGAAAGTCGCACTCAAAAAGCTGAAAGAGATCAGCGACCTCGGCTATGACATCAAGAAGGAATGGGAGCGTGAGGTAAGGGCTCACCAACATCTGCATCGGAAAAGTTCCAATATCATCCAAGCATTTGCCGCATTTAGGCGAACTACGAAAGACAGGAAATTTCATGAGTATTATCTTGTGCTTGAGTGGGCTAATGGCGGAACCCTTTTGGACTTCTGGGCGAAGAATAATTTACCTCAAGTAAATGATCCGGACGTCGGTAAAGTGCGTCGACTGGTCAAAGAAGTGCTGGAACAGCTCTATGGACTGGCGGACGCTCTTGAGGCAATGCATTCTACTGGATCTCAATCACCTGGACATAGCAGGAATAGTTCTGCGCCGTCCTCGCCCGCACTCCCACCGCAAAAAGATACAAATCGGAAGAAGAATAGTCTTGGTGTCGGTGTATCATCTGTGGATAGCTCGTCCTTGCCTGTTTTTGATCTCGACTCCGCAGAAGATGATGAGAACGAAACTATACCAACCATTGTGGTTTCTTCTGACCCGGCAAATCCGATAGTAAATGGAAATCCCAACTCGCAAAACTGGCGTCATGGCGATATCAAACCAGAGAATATATTACGGTTCATTAACGGCAAAGACGATACTAAATTAGGTGTCCTGAAGCTCGCAGATCTGGGAAGAGCACAGCAACACCAGAATGTGACAATCATGAGGAATACCAAGGAAACCGAACTTTGGAGGACACGATGGTACGAGCCACCAGATCTAGAGAAAGTAAACCACGAGAAGGCTCAAGGGAAAATCTCACGCTTGTTCGACATCTGGTCCATGGGCTGCGTGATTTTTGAAGCCGTGTTGTGGTTGCTGTATGGCCACGATTCTCACGATGAATTTTGGCGGGCGAACGGATTTACTGCAGGAGAAAAATGCGCGACACCTTATTGGAGGAAAGGAAATGACGGGATTTACGGGTTAACTGAGGCGGTGACTGGATGGATGGAGAAAATATTAGAGCATGATCCAGAACGCGATGGTGCTATCGGTGACCTGGTCAAGTTGGTGAGAGAAAGATTGCTCAAGATTGATCTGCCTCCAAATTCGGATTTCTACACGAAGGGTTTCCGCACAAATGCCAAAGACCTAAAAGAACAACTTAGTGGAATTCTCGCACACGCCAACAAAGATGAAAGGTATTTGTTTAGTGGCGCGGATCGCACGGGCATGTCTCTATCGTGTTTTGTTACTTCGACAACAAATAGCCCATCACAAATTATAGGTAGTTCTTTGCTGTCGGTCGACAATGCGAGAGGAATGAGCGTTCCTATAACCCAAAGGAGGGGAACCGAAATAGCTCATCGGCGGGACTATACTGACAGCATAAATAATGAGTGGAAGATCCTCCCTGAAGAAGACTCAATCGTTGAGTCAATGTCGAAAGGTCCGAAATTTAGCTGCGACGAACCCGAGCTTTGTAAAGGCTGCGAAGCCATTGATATCTCCTCACCGCACGCAGAGATATCCTTTGACATGGATACATTGACAACCAAATTTGAAGGCGATGAGTGCGACCTCTGCGAACTGGTCTACAAGGCAGTCAAGGATCGAAATCCAACCATTTATGGTGATTTCCAACAGGTCTCATTAAAGCGATCAGGAAATGATTTTGTCTTGAAGAACACCAACCAGAAATGCCTCCGGTTAATTGGTAAGTATTGAGATCCCAGTACAATGTTTGAGTTAACAAGAGATTTAGCAATGAAGAACACAGCTGCACGGGCACTACTCCCCTTGACAAGCAACCGCGACCCTTCCCCCCTAGAGCTTGAATCTTTCATCAAACTATTGAGGGCATGGCTAAACGAGTGTGACACTAATCACAGAGATCTTTGCGCTTCCAAACATGAACATGTGCTACCAACAAGGCTCATCTGTGTCGAAAACGCCAAGAAGCCAAAGATTGTAGTAACGGCAGATCTTCCCAAAAACATCCTCTCAAAGATTCGATACGTTGCACTCTCCCACAAGTGGGGTTGTATGCCTGACAAGGCTATTACAACGAAGAAGAATTTTGAACAACGGAAGAAAAAAATTCCAATGGACGAGATACCGCTCAGCTTCAGGAATGCCATTGCAATTACGAGTGCCCTTAACTGCACTTACCTGTGGATCGATTCTCTCTGCATCTTACAAGGCTCGGATGGCGATTTCAGTGAGGAAGCAGACAGGATGCAAACGACCTTCAACTGTGCGTACTGCGTTTTGGCCGCTTGTAGTGCCCAGAGTGCTGAGGATGGCTTTTTGCACAATCAAGAGTCACGATCGAAATGCGTTAAGATCGGTGATATTTCCGTCTCGCCAGTCACCAATGATTTTGAGCGGGATGTTCTCGATAGTCCTCTTAGCCGTCGCGGATGGGTCTTACAGGAACGCGCCTTAGCCCGTCGAACAATTTATTTTACAAAAACTCAGACGTATTGGGAATGTGGCCACGGCATCCGCTGTGAAACTTTGGTGAAACTTAAGAAGTAAGTTACGAAATCTACTAGCGAGGCAATATTGACTGATACGTTTTGCCTAGCGACAAGATAGCTTTCCTTGGCGACCCGAATTTTCCTGACTACACGATCCGACTACCACGTACCGTAGGAGAACAAATCAACCTGTTTCTTGATCTGTTCCAGCAATATACCAGGCTAGAATTTTCACATCCGGAAGACCGTCCTATCGCCATCGATGGACTAATGGAGCGACTAACCGTGGCGTTCAAAACGCGAAGTCTCGCAGGGCTCTTCGAGACATTTTGGGGTCGCTGCTTGCTCTGGCGACGGGCTGACGGCACAGAATCCTTGAAGAAGATTGGCCGTGGCATGCATTCCCGCAAGATTCCGCCCACTTGGTCATGGATGGCTTTCCAGGGTGCGATATCATTTATCAAACCTAGAGGTCGCGAAGTCGATTGGAACGACGCCAACGTGACCCGGCCATTTGCCAGCCTTGCCCATGATCAAGCTTCGTGGCTTAGGACCAGCCGTCAGAATGACAATGTAGCTATCAAGGCCCAGGCATTTGACTTCCAAATACCCGCAGGCACTAGCCGTAGCGAAGCCTCCCTGTACTACGATGGCGACGAATATGCACAAGGTCCATTTACGAAATGTATGATCATTGGTACCGATAAACAGCAAGTCAGCAATGCAACCACGAAAAAATATCATGTATTAATCGTCGATCCAATCTCAGATGTTCCCAACGAGACATCTTACAAACGTATTGGAGTTGGACATCTGTTAGGTAAGTTTGTTTCGAATCTTTCCTCTATTTCGGTGACTATCGAGTAGTTTTGGGTCGATATATATATATACTGGATAGACTCGGAGTGGCAGTGTGGTTGGTAATAGCGGAAATGTATTCTACATAATGGTTATTGATATAGGTATGGACTATTATTAAGCCTAAGGTTCGACATTTCGGTTATAGAATATTTGCGGATCATATTTGTATACTGTAACCAATAGTTAATTGGCTCTCTCTTTCTCTCTCCATGGATCAGCCGCCTGATCCTGGTTCTCAGTCGGGGAAAGCGATTGTCCCCCGGGCCCTTTAATAATATAACATTAGATTAGATTAAATATATATATATATTCATACAGAAACCTTTTAATCAAACCATCAAACTTTGTAATCTTATAATGATTTTGTGAAATACACCTAGTGATACACCCAGTTTAATAACATGTTTCCAAAAAAAAAAATATCACTATTTTAACTTCTTGTGAATTTTCATCTCAATCTTAACTCAAAATCGAATTTCAATCTACAATATCTTTTTCAAAATAGCTTCAAAATAGAGAAACTCTTTAATATAATTGA